GCGAGAAAACGAACACGGCGTTCACGAAGCCCTCAGGGGGCGCCTCGGGGGGCTCTGGGCCGGCCGGCCCCGTCCTGCGGCTCCTGCGGTGCGGCTTGGCCGGGGACGCGATCTCCGGGCGGTCCCACTGGAAGTCGAGCAGCGTCTCCTTGAGGCCACTGTGGGTGAGGGCGGCGCGGGACGCGGGGCCGGGCAGGGCGGCCGAGGGTCCCTGCGCCCGGAGCCGCTCCGCCAGCTCCTCCTCGAACCGCTCCCAGGCGCGGGGGCCCGGCGGCCGGAACCCGCCGCCCCGCGAGGCGCCGCCGCGGCCGCCGAGCGAGTCGAAGAAGCGGAATGCCCAGCGGAGGCGGGCGAGGCCGAAGCGGCAGCTCAGAAGCGTGAGGAGGCGGAGGGCGCCGCGCTGGAGCGGCTCCCGGCGCGCGGGGCCGGCGGTGTCCAGCAGGAACACGGCGCTGCGGGAGCTCGACATGGCGGGCGCCCCTCACGCCGCCACCGGCCGCCCGGCCCGACCCGGCTGCTCGCGCCCTCGGCCTGCGTGTGCCCCCATTGGCTGCCGCAGAGAGCCCCGCCCCACCCACCACCCCGCTCCTCGCTCTCCCATTGGCGGGAGCACGCCTGACGACTGGGAGGGGCGGAGCCAGCGCGCGGGACGAGCCCATTGGCCGCCGCCGTTTTAAAATTTAAAGACGGCAAAAGCGCGCGTAACGGTGACGTCAGGGGGCGTGATCGCGTGACGTCACGTATTGCGGTCGGGACGTCACGGAGGCGGCCGCGGGTCCTGCAGGGCACCGGGGTTGAGCCGCGGGACCGGCCCTGCCCGCCCCGCACCCCGGCAGGCCCCGCTCGCCGCTAGAGGTCCGCGCCTGCCCGCACACGGCACCTCCCCATCCCCGACACCCACCAGCCGCCCGCGGGCGGGGGCGGGCAGAGCCCTGCCGGCTGCCCCATACGGCACCTCCCCCCCGAGCATCCCCGCAGCAACGGCACGGACAGCCCAGGGCCCGTATGCGTGAATTTCAGGTTCAAATTCAGATTAGATATTAGGAAAAAAAAAAATCGTTTTTTAGGGTGGTCAGGCATTGGAATAGGTTGCACAGGAAGGTGGTGGAGTCACCGCCCCTCTAAGTGTTCAAGACCTGTCTGGATCTGGCGCTGGGTGATGTGGTTTGCTGGTCGCACTGATAGTGATGGGTTGATGGTTGGGCTGGATGATCTTAAAGGTCTCTTCCAGCCTTGATGATTCTATGGAAAGTTGTAGGGTCACGGCACCTGGACAAGGGCTGACATGTGGGGAGGTCCAGGTGTGATCGCACAAGGTAGCAGCAGAGGAAGCCCTGCAGACCAGAGCCACCCCACCCTTCTTTCCAGAGCTCAAATGTCCCAGCCTAAACCAGTGTCATCAGCAGCCAGTTGTATTTATAAAGCAACAAAGACAAGCGGGCAATAAACGGCCCGTTCGTCTTTGCTGGTGACTCTGAGCACAAGCGGGTTTAACGAGCTGGAACGAGGAGCTGATCCACTTGGGTGCCCAGGACTAACCTGCCACCAAGAGCAAGGGAAGGACAACAGGTCTCTCTGACTGGAATTGTGGAGGGCAGCCTGCAGTCTTGGGGTTGGAGGCTCCATGGGGAGCCATGGGTCCCTCCTCCTCGCTGGGGGTTGCTCTTGGCCCATGAGATGCCTCTTGTTGCTTGTTGATATATCATTGTCCTGTTTGAGCCCTGAAGAAGAGCCAACCCCGTTATGCTCTCACTGCCATTGCCCAGCTACTGGTGTCTGTCCCAGCAGCCCACTGAGGACATTTAGCAGAGTGTGACCAAAACCTGCCTTATCACAGTCCACCTGGGACCAAAAACAAGCTCGGGGCAAAGGGGAGTTTCCCAGCAAATCCTGGCAGCTTCCAACACAGGAACTGCTGCCAGCTACTCAAGCTCCTGCTCCTTTCCTGCCCACTCCAGTGTATTTGCTCTTGAAGACCATCCAGCTCTTGGGAAAGCCGTCAGATATTGGCTGAGCCCTGGTGACTGTGTTTCCCAGTGTGACAGCCAGAATCACTCACACCTCTGCTTCTTGCATAGTGCTTGAAGTGCTCACAGAGACATTCGCCCTCTCTGCCTGCTGCCCAAGGACACTGGCCTCTCTCAAACAGTCCTTGGGTTCTCTCTGGACAATCATTTACTTGCTGATAAATGTGGTATCTTGGGAGGAGGGAGAAGGCACAAGAAAAATCGTTCGTAAACTGGGCTCACATTTGGTTGACACTTTGATCCAGACAGGATTTTTTTTAACTTAAAAAAGTCTTGCTTTATTTTGTCCTGCTTCCAGCATTTCTCTCCAAGGGATACGTGGGGGCTGAAAAAAGGGCTGCTTTCTCCTGGGCACTTCCAGACCCCTGGGGTCCACAGCTTTAAGGTCACCTCTCAGAGCCAGCACAGTGCCTTGGCCCAGCGTTGGCTGGGATAAGATTTGCCAGGACAGTTCACAGTGACCCAAGGAGCCCCCATTCCTTCCTCTCCAGGGGGAAGCTGCCCCAAGGCATCCAGACAAGAGGGAGGGGTTTCAGTGTAATTTAGATTTTGTCTCTACATCTTTCAAATATTTTTAGTGCTCATTAAAGTTAGAAAGTGGAAGAGACCCAGTTGGGACCAGCACTGTACAACCTTCACCCAAGGCAACTGCCTGACCACTGCCAGATCCAGTCCCATGTCTCTTCAACAGAAAGACAAACAAACCTTTTCCCCCAACGTCATTTCAGTGGTTTTTTGGGGAAAGCTTCCAGCTCTTATGGGTGCTGGACATGATGTGCCAAATTCCGTGGTGGAGCAGGCAACGTTGTCTCCAGCAAACACTGCTCTGGTTCACACCAGCCTGGAGTTTCCAACAGGACTTTTAACCACCTGGATATTGGTGACTGGGGCATGATGAAAGCTGCCCCATGTGTCCTACCATGCAGTTAGGTACCTTGTAGGGTGGATGCAATGGTAGTCTAACCCATCACTGGAGGCACTCTGCCTGCATTGCTGCAGGCACTTGTGCTGGCATGGCCCTGTCAACCTTTCCAGTGTTATCCTGGCCCTGCAAAGGAGCCTGGAGAGTAGCTGGTCCTTTAATGGGCTCTCCTGGCATGGGCAGCCAGTGGAGCATGCCAGCCCTGATGGGACTGCAGTGACAAAGTGCTGATCTGGGGGCCGATAAGGAGCGGCAGTGCCAGGCAGTGCAGCAAGGTGAGACTATCAGGCCAGCAGAAAAGCCATTAGCTTTGTCCTGGGCTTTCAGACATGGGGAGAGGGGCTGAGGACAGCAGATGGGACAGACCTGCTGCCTCCTGGGGCTGTGCAAGGGCTTTGCAAGCTACTTTTCTGGAGACACTGCTATTTCAGTGAGACCATGGATTAGAAAAGCTCTGCAGTTAGTTTTGCTGAAGCGTAGTCACAAAGTATAACTGCTGGTGGCTACAGTACCTTAGCAAGTTTAAAACCCTTGGGTTTTAAAATGCTCTTCTGTGCCTCTGCTGCATTTCTCAAGGTGTCTAGGAGCTGCTCTAGGGCAGGGCAGAATACTGGTCCTACCACGTAGTTGGCAGGAGAACATGCAACTGTCAACAGTGCTTCCAGCAATTAGAGCTCAAGTATTGTTTAGGGATTTCAGCTTCTTTCTAGATGGAAGTCTTTTGTTTCCTGGTATGTACAGCTGAGACTGCCCTGCAGAAACCATGTTTAATGGGAGACTCAAAAACATACCCTGAGCAGCATCGCTTGAGGGAGTGCTCATCCTCCAGACAACAGCAACATCCAATTGCTTTAGGTGTCCCCACCAAGTGACCCCAGTCACACAAAGCTCTGCTCATGCAGGGTAAGGGCCAGGCAGATGGGCTTCTCTCTCCTTCACGACGCTGTCTCTGCTGCCTGCACGGGGTTCAAATGAGATTGGAGAATGGTTTTGTGTGGCCGTCAGTCACTTCAAGACCATCCACAGCATTTTTCTGCCATCTGTCATTTTGAGAAGAAAGCAAACAAGAAAAAATAATAAACTCAAATTATTGCCTAATCAACACCGAAATCAGTGCTGCTTGCTCAGCCTGCGGGCCACAATTAGATGCCATCAGCAAATTTGGGCAGCTTGCCTGGGCTGCAGTCTTTTATCTCTTGAAGACTGACAGGCATCCCAGGGATCTGCAGGCAGAGGAAGGAGCTGTGATCTGTTTGAAGGACTTGCCTAGCTCTTTGAGGAAAGAGCACATAGTTCAAAACAGTAGGAAAAAAAGGAGTTTTTTGTTTGTGTTTGTTAATTAAAGGATGCCCCATACCAGAGGAGGGAACGTTTTGGTCTCCAGTCCCATCCACAGCACCATCTCACAGTAAAGCCCTGCTTCATGCAGCCCCAGCACAGTTTGTCTTGCCAGGAAGATGCACTGGGTAATTTGGGAAATAAAGGAACATGTGTCACTTGAACATCCTTATAGCTATATGGCAGCCTTGGGCCATTGCATGTCTGTGCGTGCATGCAGGATCTTGGTTAGAGTCACATATCTCCTCTTCCTCCTATGGCTGCACCACAGTCTGCTTTTCCAAAAGCTGAGAGCTGAAGCAAAAGGCACTCTGCCTTCACCTCAGTTGCAGCTGGGGAAGGGTGCAGAGCCAGGAGGGTGGTGAGGGGACCACCCAGTGCAGGGAGGGAGGGTGCTCAGGACAGCAGGGATCCGGGTGTGGGACTGGGCAGAGCAGGGGGCTGGACGCCCAGGCTCCACTTCCCACTCTCACTGGCCTCCACATCTTCTACTTGTCCCTGTGCAGGTAGGGCTCAGAGGTGCTCAGAGCAGCTTGGGGGAAGGGTTCCTTGTCCTGTCCCTCCTCCCAGGGAGGAAGGTGGGTTAGAGGAACAAGCCTACTGAGGCTCCAGTGCTCTGAAATGTGATCCTGCCACAGGCACCTCCCTGGGCCCCACCTCGCCCTCTCCGACTTATATATGTCCCTGGCAGTGTCCAGGCACAAGGGACACAGGCTCGCACGGGCTGCTGGGCCCCTGCAGATCCCTGTGGATGGACAGGCCGAGGCACCAGGGCATGGTGAAGAACACATACATGCGCTGGCGGCTCCCGCTCGTCTGCCTCCTCTGGGAGGTGGCCATGATTGTCCTCTTTGGGGTCTTTGTGCGCTTCGGCCCCGAAGCTGATGCACACTGGGAGGAAGAGAAGCAAGAGCTGAACCTGACCAGTGACATGGAGAATGATTTCTACTTCCGATACCCATGTGAGTATTCTGGAAGTGTAGTCCTGCTGCTGGCTAGTCCCTACCCATCCATCCCATCCCAATCCATCACATCCATCCTATTCTGTCCTACGGCAGAGCCTGTCAGAGGCAATCTCTCCACCTATTGCTAGAAAGTTGGGCTCTTGCCTTGTGGTTGGTTTGGGGTGCACCAAAGAGCAAGAGAAAAACCTCGTGGCCCTCCAGGCACTCTTGGGGCTCTGTCAGCAGGGTACTGTGACGTCTTTTTTCCAGGAATAGGGCTGACGTGTTCCCAGCACCCTGCAAGTTTCAGCTTGCTGCCCCCTCTCTCAGCTCTGGATCAGAGCAAGCCTTTCTGTGCATACAGAGGAATGGCTGTTGAGATCCTGTGACATCTTCCTCCCCTTCCTACGTCCTCCCCCTCACTAGCGAATTACCCTTTAGCAACTGGCATTTCAATGCCAGAGTCTTCCTAAGTTGCCAGGTTCCCAGGGCTCTTGGGTCACTGCACGGTAGTGCCACAGGGATTATTCAGGTGGTTAAAGCCCTTCTGGCTGGGAAGTGCCTTTGGGTGGCTTTGATCTACAGGGCTGGTCATCTCTGTGAGCCATTCAGAACAGGCTGCTTCTGTAGGCAATTGTTTCCAAGGAAGCAACAGGCCTGAGTCATGCATCTATTTAGAACATTTCCATTAAAAACACCTGCTAAATCAAAGAAGCTATAGCAACCTGTGGCTGCTGAGGATTAGCTAGTTCAGAGAAGGATTTGCTTACAGTAACCCACTGCTCAGCCAGCCTCCGAGTTAGTGTATGGCTGTGGCTGCCCTGAGCTCTCCCTGGAGATCTGCCCCTGGGACTAGCCCCACACAGGTTGCCATGAAGCAGCAGCAGTGCCTGGGAGCTGCTCTTGTCACTGATGTGCTGCAAGGACGTCAGGAGTCCAAGGAAGAGCTTGTAGGAACTAAGAACATGACGTTTCTTCTGTCCTCATATCCCACTCCTGCTCCACAGTGCCAAATAATCCCCCTCAAATGGCTGAGTAGATTCACTCAACTAAATCAGTCTATGGGCAACTGCCCAGTTTAGCTTTGAATTAAGTTTCTGTTTCAGACCCGAGGAAGGGTTCACGTACCCAAAAGCAGAGCTGTTTTTTATCCCTTATCTAATCAGAAATAGACTCTTTCTGCAAAGATGGGCAAACACAACAAGGCGGCCCCTGGAATTTTGATCCCTGTGTCCATCCAGCACTGCTCAGAAGAGAGTGTGGTGGTTGAATGCCTGAGGATCATTTGTATCAACATATCTGTGCCTGCTGCTGTCCCCAGGACCTGTCTGCAGTGGCAGAGGGATAGGAGTAACAACCTGACATGTCCTTTGAGACAGAGATGGTTGGGAAGGCAGGCAGAGGGAATCCAGGTCCAGTCAGTGTGACAATTCCTTCTCATTTTGAATCGCACATGGATATTCCCTGATGGGTGACTCATCTGCTCTCTAGGGGAAAAGAAATGAGATTCCTTGTCCGGGTAACATTCCCAAGGCCCAAACACTTCTGTTCGATAGTTATGGCAATCGTCCTCCCACAAAAGGAGGCTCACAAAACCTTTAGGGCATGGCAGTGCCTGGGCTGCCTCTTAGTGATGCCAATGTTATTCTTCACAAGGGAAAACAAAGACAAGGGTTAGAAAAGGGTTTTGGACTGGGTGCAGTTTGAAGAAAGGCCTACTCTTCCTCCTGGGTTTGTACAGGGTCTAACACACAGTGGAGTCCTCTGTGGTTTTGGAGGGTACACAGTCTGCAGCTTTAACTCTGACCTGTGTATTTCTGCTTTTAGGATGAAAGAACGAATATATAATACAAATGGCAGCAGATAATTCCAGCTTTGTATTGTGCTGCTCACACTGGAGAAGAGAGAGAGGGAGAATAAATACAGCTGCAGAGGGAAAGTCTGTGGGACTGTATAGTAAAACCAGAGTAAGAAAGGCTGGTTCTTAGGACATGTGGAAAAGTACATTTGAAGTGACCTCTGCTGAACAGTTCCAGCTGCAGATCTTGTCTCCTTCCTTTTTTATGAGTGATTTCATAGGCATGGGAGGCATTTTAAAAAACAAGCAGATTAACATGGCACTACATGGCTTAAGCCTGTCCAAACTCTGGGATAGAGTGGGTTTGGGATAGAGTGGATTGGGGGTAGAGTGTATTTGCCATCACTGAATTTTTTTTGCCCTGAGTTTATGCCCTCTCTGAGGTGCACAGACATTGCTTGTTATAATGGTTTGTGCACTGCAAAATGTAGAGCTTGCTGGTGTAGCTCCATAAATGGTGTGTTCATCTGTTCTACAGATCCCAGTGGGGGATCCCAGCCTTGGGTCTCCTGTTTATTCACAGGCACAGTGGCCTGCAGTGAGAGGGCTTGCATGGTAAGTATGCAAGCATTTCAGCTCACTTAATTGCAAAGCGATGCTTATCTGATAGAAATGCGCAGCATTAAGAAGTACAGCGGGTTTACTGCACCAAGAAGGTCTTTCAAGAGGCTCACACAGGTCTGGCTTCCCCCGGGGAAGGGCATCTGAGGGGCTCGACTGAGCAGGTCTGAACATTAGTGGGAAGAACTGGGTCTCTCTGGTTTAAGCACTATAAATCTCACAAGGTGGATTTCTGGTCTCAAGGGTATTTTGGCACTGATTTCAACAGCATTTAAAAATGCACCTGTAAACTTTCCTTGTTCTTGTGCTCTCCTTGCTCTGGGCCATTGCCAGGACCCTGCATCGGACAGACCTACCCAAAATGATCATTCATGTGTTTTAACAAAACTTCACTGTTCATTTCATATGACATTTTCCAAGTCTTTTATAGAAGGGGAGAAACAATCTGAGTAGAAATATGTTTTCTTCTGTACACTCCATTAGCCTCTGGTCTTCTCTTGCACACAGCTTTTAATAAGCATTCACTTACAAGACTGAGCCTTTTTAACCAAAAGCCAGTTTCTGAAAGCTGAGCCATTTTCAGGCTTAGAACAGAGGGACATGAGACAAACACACATTGTCACTTGAGTTCCCTACTGCCCGTGATGCAGTTGGTTTCTTTTCAACACCAAATGCAAGTGGCACTTGCAACCCTGCTCTCCTTGCAGAACTGACAGTCCCTTCCCTCTCCTCAGCTTTCCAGGATGTCCATGTGATGATCTTTGTGGGCTTTGGCTTTCTCATGACGTTCCTCAAGCGTTATGGATTCGGAGCTGTGGGTTTCAATTTCCTCCTTGCTGCCTTTGGGATCCAGTGGGCTCTCCTGATGCAAGGATGGTTCCACTCTTTCAAGAATGGAAAGATCCTCATTGGAGTGGAGAAGTAAGGAGGAGATGGGCTCTGGGATGCCACCTCTTGACTGGCCAGTGGAAGAGCTGGAATGGGAGCCAAGCAGCTGCCAACACCTGTCCCTCAGTTATATCAAATCAGTCTCTAAACTGCCCTCTTCTCTGCACATATCTCCATTTGCCTTCCACCTTTTGGTCCAAAAGGTACCTGCCATTATGGTGGTACTGCTCAAAGGAAAACATGAGAGGAGCATCCTCTCTTAGTCCCAAGCCAAGCACTGTGGATGCCAGTGCTGAGAACATGTATAATCCACATTATCTAAATAATCTGGGGGAAAGCATATTTCCTGGCCAGTATGTAAGAATGGGAGGAAAGCCAATGGGAAAAACCCAGGGATGTCTCCTAATCACCTGTTTGCCTTTGGGTGGGATCTCTAGAGCTGGGGATGAGTGAGGGTGAGTTACAGAGGAGTATTTCCTTATCAAACCACAATTTTCCTTCCCCTTTTCCAGCCTGATCAATGCTGATTTCTGCGTGGGCTCTGTGTGCATTGCCTTTGGGGCCATCCTGGGCAAAACCAGCCCCATACAACTCCTCGTCATGACTTTGTTTCAAGTCACACTCTTTTCAGTGAATGAGTACATCCTCCTCAACCTGCTCCATGTAAGGCTTTAGGTAGTACCCTCTTGGTTCTGTTCTTCCTTTCCGTATCTCTCCAAATTGTCTCCCCTTGCTATGGCTCCACCAAGCTATAGTTCCTTCATAAGCATTTAAAATGCAAGAATTCAAGCAGAAAAATTAGAAAGATTATGAAGGAAAGGGTCAGCGGGTGTTACTTCCCCGAGAAGGGAGATCTTCTGGGATTTTAATCACCATCCTGGCAATTCAGGAGCACTGGGTCCCTCTGTCACAGCTCCCAAAGCAGACAAGGAGTCAGCACAAATGACCAGTCACTCTCTTTGTGCTTGAGCTTTCCATCTCGTCTGTTTTCCCTGCTGGAGTATGGGTATTGCAGAAGGAAATCAAGTGACAAAGAGGACGAGATGTCTGCTGACAGAGGCAGGGTTCCTGACCTCTGAAAGAGGGCTTGGAGGGCTGGAAGCAAACAGGCTCTCACAAGACTGCACCTGGGAGCCAATCTGGCTGTCTCTGCAAGCCACTGGAACAGGTCAGAAACTCCCCTCTGCCTTAATGCCTTCCAAGCAGAAGCTTGTGCACAGGACCAAGTGAGTGGGACACAGAGCAGGACCAGAGCAGTTTTGTCCACCTCTCCATATGACTGTGTGCAGGCAGAAATGTTGAATGGGCAAACAAGTCGGTCACGATGCAAATCAGGCCTCAGCTCCAGAATGAGTGGCCATGGCAGAAGCAAACCTCTGTTTCCCCACGGCTGCAGGTAAAGGACGCAGGTGGCTCCATGACCATCCACACCTTCGGAGCTTACTTTGGCCTCACAGTGACACGTATCCTGTACAGACCCAACCTGGAGCAGAGTAAGGACAAGCAGGGCTCCGTGTACCACTCCGACCTCTTTGCTATGATCGGTGAGTCAGCCCTCATCTCAAGGACACTGCTACATGTGGAGCACTCAGCTGCAGACAGCTGGTTCCTCCTGTGTCCCTGGGAAAAAATGAAACCAGGATATGGAGCTGAGGAGCTCTGTATCCCAGAGGTCTTTCACCTTTCAGAGTTACTCAGCTCCCTTCGTCAGTGGATGGGCTGAGACAGTGCTTGGGAAAACAAGGATGCATTTTCCTTCTCTGTGGCAGCCCTTCCTGATGCTGGTCGCATCACATGGGGTACAGCTCCGGGGCAGCAGGACTGTAGGATTTAATTTCACCGTGTGCAGAAAGATGTTTAGAGGATTTTTTTTTCCAGTCCCTGTATTCTCACTTTTCCCGTTCTCTTCCTTGTCCCATCCTCCCCATCCCACCAGGTACCCTGTACCTATGGATGTACTGGCCCAGTTTTAACTCAGCCATTTCTGAGCACGGGGATGCCCAGCACCGCTCGGCCATTAACACATACTGCTCACTGGCTGCCTGTGTCCTCACCACCATGGCCTTCTCCAGCATGCTGCAGAAGAAGGGCAAGCTTGACATGGTAAGCTGGGAGCAGAGAGCCCTGCAATGGACTTGTAATGAGGCTGATTGAGAGTCTAGGAAACGACTGGCACTTGTCCTTTGCAGAACAGATGCAGGGTTTCAGGGCATAATGGTGAAACCAGCATCCAGGCATAAACTGAGATTATGTTGAATAAAAAAGTGGGAAATGTGTCTTGCAGTGCTTGAGGTGTGGGGTGATGCCCTGCACTGCAGTGGACCCAAGTCACAGCAGGAACTGGACTTGCTTTACCCAGAGCTGGGCGCGTTGCAGAGCCGTGTTTGGCAGCACTCTCCAGCAAGCAGGGCCTGTGCAGCAGCTCGTGAGCAATCGGGGGGCTGACTTGTGCGTGTTAGGTGTGTGGGTGACATGTCTTTGTGACAGCAGAGCTTGCGTGACACACGGGTGAGACAATTTCCATCTCATCGCAACTCCCCACCCAGATCTGTGGATGCAAAGAACGTGTGTGGTACAGGGAGTGGGAGTCTATGTGCACCTGTGCTACAGACAGAAACTGCCTGCTCTTCTCCTGTTTTTTCACGACCAAGCAGGAAAATGGGCCCTGATATTTACTCTGGAGACACTTTCAGAGCTGATTCTTCTGCTTTGCCATTTGCACCATGCCTGAGCAATTACAATCTCCCTGAGATGCCAAGACAGGGCGGTTACTCCTGCAGGTTCACATCCAGAACGCCACGCTGGCGGGCGGCGTGGCCGTGGGCACCAGCGCGGAGATGATGCTGACTCCATACGGCTCCCTCATTGTCGGGTCCATCTCTGGCATCGTGTCCACAGTGGGGTATGTCTACTTCACGGTGAGTGCTGCTCGAGGGGTCTGCAGCCCTGGTCTGGCTGAGGAGACCAGAAATGGATTCACTTCCATTTGAGGATTCCTGCTTCCCAGAATCCCTTATGAGATGCACTTCTAACTCTATTTACTGCCCCAAAATGCTCAGGAAGATGCAGACTCCCAAGAGGAGAGTGTTTGGAGGAAATTTTATTATTTCATCTTGATCTTGGCTCACATCTTTGTCTACAAACCTTTAGCACTTTAATGGGACACAATGTCAGTCTTCCTTCTCTGCTTATCCTCTGTGGAAGGAACTAATCCTTTCCAGGGCCATGTTCATCTCCCTGATCTCTCTCTACTTCCCTCTCCCTCAGCCTTTTTTGGAGTCTAGGTTGCACATTCAGGACACATGTGGCATCCACAACCTCCATGCCATGCCAGGCCTTATTGGTGGCATTGTGGGGGCCATCACAGCAGCTGCAGCTACAGAGGATGTATATGGAAAGGAAGGGTAAGACAGCTTGAAAATCTTCTCTGAGAATACATTTTACCTGAGGCTCCTTGGGCTGGGAGCAAGGAGCATTTAAAAGTCTTTGTTAATTGTTCAGTTGCCCTAAAAAAACATGAGGTGCAATAAGTGTCTTGGACTTACTGAAGTGTAAAAGCCTCATCTCTTGCCTCTTCTCGTAGCCTCAAAAAGTGAGCCACAGTCTTGCTGCTTGGCATTATTCTGGGCCACAACGGGTAGGGAAGTGTTCCTCCCTCCCCCCTGTATTGTTTTGGAGGGTCAGGTACGGCTGAAGGTCTGAAATACAAAGGACATGTTTATATTTTGTGGTCCTCCTAGGTAAAGCTTTGCCAGGGGCCAGAGTAGAAGGAAATGAGCAGTGTTTTGGTCATTGCAACACTCTCCTGGTCCGTTGCAGGGGAGGGATGGGGCTAGGGAGGAGTCCCCGAGGGAGCAGAGCAACACATCTCCTGCCAGGAGCAATCCTCGCCGTTTCTGCTCTCGGCAGGTTCATCAAGGCGTTTGACTTCACTGGCGTGTACCAGACGCGGACACCCAGTGTCCAAGGAGGGTTCCAGGCGGCCGGGATTGTGGTGTCTCTGCTGATGGCGTTTGTCGGGGGGGCCATTGTGGGTAAGCCAAAGGGGAGAGTTGTGCCCGCCTGCGGCTAAAACGGAGGCATCCACGTGCTCCTGCCCATGGCTGGATGCGCCCGGGGCGGGGGACGGCACCGAGCACCGTGCCAGGGCTGCGTTTGCCCCCTTGGGTGGACCATACGCATCCCGCCTGCATCCCCCCGGCATCACGGCCCCCTGCCCACCGCCCTGCCCGCCTCCTTCCAGGGGGCATCCTGAAGCTGCCCATCTGGGGGGACGCCGCCGCCGAGAACTGCTTCGAGGACGAGGTTTACTGGGAGGTGAGGGGGGTCCGGGGCGGGAGCGGGGCGGGGGGCACGAGATGGCGCTGTCGGCCCGCGGCCCGGCCCGGGGGGCTCAGGGGGCTCTGCCGCGCCGCAGGTGCCGGAGGACGAGGAGAGCGACGTGTACCACATGCACAACCCCGACAAACCCACGTCACCCTGAGCCGCCCCCGCCCCGCTCCTTCCCCGCCGCAGGACCGCGGGCCCCGCTCCGGGGCCGAAGGCTCGTTTACTCCCCGTGACGACGAGGGCTCTGCCCTACTCTCCTGCTTTTGTAACGCGCTGTTGTGGATAAAATAAAGACGTGTTCTTCTTTCCAGGCCTGTACTCCCGTGTGCCAGCGGCGGAGCGGGATGGGATGTCGCTCAGACCCCCTCTCTCCCACCAGCGGCACAGGGCAGCTGCTGGGAGAGCTCTGGGCTACCGGGGGCAAAGAGGGGGCGCTGGGACACTCCTGACACCTGGGAGCCAAAGTGGAGGCATGAACGATGGCAATACAGGCTGGGGGTATTAGTTACATGATATATTAGATAGTGCAGGCTGGGGAGATGCCAGGGTTAGGACCTGGCAGCTTAAGATAGTGGTCCTCAAGGTGTCCATGGCAGGGGCTGAGCCCCTGTGGGACGCACAGGCCAGGCTGGTGCTTTTTGGGAAGGGGGTGCTGGGGTGCAGCAGCTGTCCCTGTGCTCATCTAGCCATCCACGGCATGGGTGAAGGCAGCTGTGAGTCTGTCTACACTCCTACCTGTCTCTACCATCACCTTCCCTTGACCTGCTCTACTGAGGCCTCCGTCAGCTCCTTGGGAACCTTGTTTGCGCATACGGTGTAGGATGGCAAGACCCCTTCCCTCTTTTTGGCTTCACCCATTTCTTCCCGTGTCATCAGACAGCTCCTTCCGCTTATTGGTGCTGTATCATATGTATATAACTGCAAGAGTCCAAAGCCAGAGCATGGTGTCACTCTCAGCCAGAGTTGGAGGAAACAGGAGTGAAAATTAGGCCTAAAATCTGCATGTTTTCCTGGGTGATCTAATGTGAGGAGCAGGAAAGGAAAAGAGCGAGGAGGGGGGAAAAGGAGGTAGGAGGGCTGATAGGTCTCTTCACTGCATCTAGCTGTAATTCTCACACCTGAGGGGGGGAGTCAAAAGTAGCTATTCACATCCCCTTGGGATATGACACCCTCATTTTCCATGCTGGGTAAAAACAAAAACCCTTTACAACATGTTTCTGGAATTTGTCAGCGGCTGCCAGCAGCAGCATGTTAATTAAATGTCGGCAAAGATGGAAGCAAGAGGCTCTACTCTAATTGGGCACTTTGCTTGGTGGAGCTGAAAAACATTGTGACAGAGGAGGAGGTGCCAAAACACTGTGTTCCCCCGCCATGGCGCGGGGACGGGAACAGCCAGGCACGGGAGATGCTCTTGTCTGAACACCCATCGCCTCTGTTTGGCCTGAAACAACCTCGCCATTGAAAAAAAGAAGAGTAATACAGGACCTAAAATCCTCCATAGGATTGGTCTCAACCATGACAGCAGCGTGGGACGCAGGGAAGTGGTTGCTTGGCTCAGGGGAAATTCAGAAGTGTCATAGCTGGGCCATCAGGAGCCCCAGCCCACTTGTCAGCAAGTGTTGTATTGTACCTTCTTTTATGATGGCAAAGGCAGGGCTACCAGGGGTTAGAAATGGCCTCTGGAGAATGATCCCTGCAGAAGCTGAAGCATACATTGTGCTACATCCTTTCCCCAGGACAGGGGTGGGAAAATGAAGGGCAATTCCTGATTTCCCTGTGCTGGGATCTGCTGAAGGAAGGAGATCACCTCCTGGCCTCTTTGCACTGGGGAAAAGATGTGAACAGCCATTTTCTGTTCACAGCTTCATCCAGAGAACCCATCAGAAACCACCACAGGGGTGTTTACTGACAGGCACCCTAGACAATCTCATTTCAAAAAGGGAGTCCTAAACTTTTTGCCCCAAGCTGCAAAATTTGAAGGCAGAAGCAGACCTGTTGGGAACTGTATTTCCTACTGTGTCACTGGACCAGTGTCCCTCTGTCCCACGCTTTTGAGTTCTATCCATGTCCCAGATAAGCAGTCATCCAGCTGTGTGTCCCTATGGCCTCTGATCTTCCTTCCCAGCAGCTTGCAAAGGGCCATGAGGATCAGCAATGGCAAAGAATGGGTGACCCTCATTGCTTTAGCGAGATGGCCAGCCCACATCTCTGGTGAGGCAGGTCTGTGAGCACCAGGAGATGGTCCTGCCCCATGTGCACATGCTGGAAGAAGAAGCCCCGACCCAGCTCCCTGTCCCTCTGGGCTCTGCCTCCTCCTCGTGGGAAGACACCTCAATCGCCCAGGCTGCTGGGCAGCGAAGCGTTTTATTGCCTGTGCTCTTGTGGGGCTCAGTCTGGTCTCAGTACCTAAATCACTCGCTGGGGCTGGCCTTGCAGTTTTAATTCTCTGGCAAACAATGCCGGGGTCGAACTGGCGTGTTTGAAGTGCGGTCGTGGCCCCGGCGGTGGATGGAGGGTTTCTCAACAGGGGAGCGTGGAGAGCAGAGGATTGGGCTGCTCAGGCAGGCAGGAGAATGTGTGAGAAAGGGGCTGTCGATACTCGCAGGGATTAGGTGGTACAAATTGGCTGGGAAGCACCGGAGGCATTGACCAAAATTGTCCTGGGGCAGGTTCCCATGGGGGGGGTGGCTGAAACAACCTGCCTTCAAGGAGGTTGGAAGGCCCAGCCTGGCTGCTAATCCCCTAGGATCTGCGGGGCACAGAGCAGAAAAGAGGTTAAAAAAAAGGGAAAATCTCATGTAAAGGTGGTGGTTTCCCCAAGGGGATGATGTTAGAGAGAGCGGGAAGGGGGCGGGGAGTGAGGGGGGAACAGCATCATTTAATCCCGCTTTTAATAGGCAGGTGGTGGGTTTTGCTCGCACTCCTGCTCCTGCGAGCTGCTGCAGAGATTTTGGCAGAAGGCCTTTGCTCACCTCTTCTGTCCCCCACTCCTGTGCCTCTGCAGAGGGGCCCCATCTGTGGGCCTGCCCGGGAGAAGGTGGGGTTGCATGCTTACGTCTGTGCCCATGTGTGTGTTGGTGTGTGTGGGTGCAGGTACACGATGCACACCCTGGGATTGGGCTGGAATGGGCTCACTGCACAGCCCAGGTGTTGGCCATGGTGTATCTGATGCTAACAGCATGCCCTGTGTCCCCATGGCCATGCCTTCAGCCTTCTTGACCCTGTACAACCGGCACACTGAAATGCACACTGCCAACGTCACTGCCGAAGTTGGTGTGTTGTTGGCCACAGTCCCAGTGTGCACATCCATCTGCCTTTGCCATGCACATCCATCTACCTTTGCCATGCACATCCATCTACCTTCGCTGTGCCCTTCCCTCCACCTTTGCGCTGGAGCGAGCGCGTGCATGTCCGACCCGCCGTGTCCACACCTGCGTGAGCACTGCTCCAGCCCCTTCTGAGGGAGTGCTGTAAATTGTAATCAGATTAGGGCAGCCGGTCGCTTAGGGCCCTTGAAAAGGGCATACGTCCCCTCATCAGTACCTAGCATTGAGTCGCACAAAGGGTCTAAGTAACTCGGCAGGGGTCGGGCCCTCTGGAGCGCAGGGGAGGGGGCTCGTCTTTCTTTTCTCTCTGTCCCTTGTAATTATGTCAATTTGCTAGCCAAATTGTTTGCTTGAGTGGACAGTGGGGGCTTGCCCCCCTTCACGCCTCCCCCCCACCCCTAACCCCATTCATGTGCTAATGTGGGAAGGAGCATGGCCTCCTGACTTCGGGAGGTAGCCGTCAAGGAGCAAAGCACAGGGGGACACGGGCTGGGAGAGCCCCTCATTTACGTGCCCATGGATGCCCTGGCCTTGCAGCCCAGATGAACAGGGCACTCCTGTTTGGTTTAGCCCACGGCAGGGTGTGCAACACCGAGCCAGCCCCAGCCAGCCCTGTTTTTTATTGGCCATCCCTCACCTGTGCCACATGCCCGCTCAGGCCGCTGCATCCCCAGGGCCAGGAGCCGTGCCCGCCGCACAGCGGTTTTCCAGGCACACCTCCCCACCCGCGCACCTCCCAGTATTTGCATATATTCTGCCTGCAAATCCTTGTCAAGGGGACCCTCTTTATTGCCTGTATAGATCACAGGGTGTTAGTTAAGGGGCTTCTTTGTATTGCCTCAGACAGCTGGGGTCATCAAAAGTCCTGTGGTGGGAAGGAGAGACAGGAGGAGGGGGGGAGCCCTGACAATACGGACTGAAGGATTAAAGAAGCATATAAAGTTCCTATTGAGTGAGACAAGAGGCTGTTCACTCCTAAGATTGACAGCAACCAGGAGGCGATTCCCAACACAATGTCCAATTAATTCTCTACCCTCTTCGCTGCCTTCTCCTCCCTCCCTCCTCTCCTGGGCTGGGGCATGAGCAGGGAAGGGCTGAAGCTAAGATCCTCAAGAAGGTAATTAATTATTCCTGACTGAGAGGAGCTTGCCAGGGTGCAGGCCAGTCCCCAGGCTTACTGGGAATCCATCCCCCTCCCACAGGCTACCATCAGTTTGGGCCACTTTGGGATAGTTTTCCTTTCTATCACAGGCAGAGCTGTCCCACCAAAGGTCCATGTCCATAGCAGGTCCTGGACGATAACCATGGCTACTGCTGAGCCCAGAAGAGGCAGATTTAAGGCTAAAGCCAGGCTGGCAGTGGAATGTAGCAGGACAAGGCAGCAGCAGCAGGAGATCTAGGGAGCAGGGGAAGGTGCATGGCCAGGATGTATGGGCATGCAGAGCCTCTGGGGAGAGGCAGAGCAGCATGTGCCAGGCCTGGGGACCACTGCATGTGCAGTGGCAGTGCTTAAAGCAGCTCTACCTACCCTGGTTCTGTAGGGAGAAGCAGGCTCCTGGCAATAAGTATGCATTGCCACTGTCCCCTGGGCTGGCCACCCATACCTGCCCTAGCGCTGGTCATAACAGGGCATGTAGGAGATATTGGTGAGTGTGCTGCATCTCTTTGTTGTACCCCCATGTAGAGGAGAGGAATCTGGGTCACCATGTGAAATTCCTGCAAACCACTGAGTACAAACTGCTTGATTTGTCTGGTTGGGTTTTCCCCTCAGCCCAGAGGGAGGAAAACACCTTTTGCCGAGTTGGCCATCTTTTTCTTAGTACTCTCTGTGTTAATGAGGCTCCAAGACATGAGTGGCAAACGTCCTTCAACAGTGACAAACATCCCCAAACCACCTAACTTGGGAGAAAAAGCCATGCAACTAGGACAGCCCATTCTCATTGCAGGGACATTTTGGTCAGCCCATCTTCTCTGTTCCTACAGCT